GCAGGCCTCTGGCGGCGAGGAGCTGCGGGGAGGAGGTTGCCGAAGGGGACCGAAAACCGGCGTGCTTAGCGTGCGAGAGCTTCCAGCAACAGCCTAGACATCGTAAACTTAATACTTAGTGATGTTTATAGTCTACAGATGTACAAGCATGTTTAATAAATATTTACCTCTGAAATATAAATGAGGTTGGCCAAAGCGTTCTCACAACTACCTGCTTATCCACAGAAACGAACAGGCTGGCTTTCAGAACCATCCCAAAACCTACTGTAGGCATACTTTGATGTTTTTTAGTGCAAACACGCGTCCAGTCCAGCTACGCGCTAGCAGGACTGCAAGTAGTACACACTAAATATTGAAAAGATTATGTATAAGCATGATGAGATTATGTATAAGCACATATGTAAAGGACTACATCACAGGGCGCCTCATTTTTCCCTCTGAAGGAGAAGGGAAAATGATCCAGGATGTCCTACACTTACGGAAGATCTGAGTGAAGGCCGTTTTACTTTGTTTCCCCTTATTAAATCTCTGTAGAGATGTTTTACTAACATTTCATTTAGTATTTGGCATAAGATAGCATTAATTATTTTAAGACTGTTCTCAGTTTTGTGAAACTAAACACCTGCGTACAGATCTCTCTCACTGTATAGCAGGAGCTGGGCTGCTGGTTTGGATCTTGTGGTCGAACTGCAATAATTAGGATTGTGTCAAGCAGTGCCAAATTATATGTAATTCATCAAAACTACGTATGTTATTATACAATAAGAATAGGCATGGTTCCATATACAGCTCAGGCAGTGGCTGGGCTTTAATCATCACTGGAACCTAGTTGTCTTTTTCTCTCCTGGGACGTGCTAATTGCATAGTTTTCCCCAAAAAGTTAGAGCTGTATGAAGGTCATTTCATACAAAGCAGGTCGCAGCTCTGACGGTGCTGTGTTGGTTATAAGGATGACATAACAGTGAAGGTGATCATGTGATGATACCTCCATCATTTCCTCCACTCTCCACATCAACCATGCAGCTGTTTTCTGTGAAAACAGTGCTAGACAGAGGATGTCAATGCAAGTTAGGAGACTAAGAGTATGTGCAAACTATTAAATTACATTTATAGTCTCAATTTCTATGCAGATATGAAGCGCTACAAGGTGAGTTTATGATGCAATAATTGCCTATTTCTGAAGATTGTAAAATTAGCTAGCAGCATGAAAAAGGACATTTGACTAACTCTGGAAAAGGCACTATATATTTTCGTCTTAAAATTTTCTATTATTTTTGCCCTTGCTTTTTTTTTTTTAAAAGGAGAAAATCAAGCCTTTTCAAATTGGCAGCATGAGTCACTTTATTTAGAAAGTAGGGCTTTATGCATTACAAAGACAAGTCTAACTCTTTTCCTTGCCTGTTCCCATAGTAACTCTTCTAGCTGATGCCCCTGTGAAGACTGCGTTCCAAGTAACACCAAACCCTTCAAATGCTGAACTACTCTGCAGTAACAAAGAATAGTGTAAAAGTTTGTGAAACTCTTGAAAGCACAGAAAAGTACTAACGCTTGCAAAATGTGAAGCCTTGCAAGACTTCCTTTTATTCAAGGGCTATTTGATGTTAGTACACAGTAGCTGGTACAAGATTTAGCTGTGATGATATCTCACCACTGTGGCGGCTGTGGACATCACTCAGCTTCTTTGTAAAGGAGACAGAATGTGAGGGTGACCTTGTGGGATTTTGCCAGGCAGTGATGTTGCTGTAGAAACAATGGCAGACTATTCAGTGCTCAACACAGATGTCTCAGACATCTCACAAATAGCAACAGCAGGAGAATGGCCCATAACATATTCCAGTTTTCATTTGTTCAGGGCCAGGCTAGGGGAAACCATCTTGGCAAGCCAGAGTGTTCTCATGAAAGAAAAGAACACTGAGAAGCAAAAATCCATGGTAGTGTTGAAAAAGATAAGTAGTAAAATTTCCTTATTTTCACCAATTCTTAAGCAGCTTTCTGAAACTGAAGTTCAAAATTGGAACAGCGCTGTTGTATTTTAAAAAAGGAAAAAAATATCTGGTATTTAATTGCAGCTTTCACTAAACTTTTTTTAATACACTACTCTTCTATCATCTCTTCTGCTGGTACACCTACCACTTACTTTCTGCAACGCAAAGTAGATTGGTTGTTTTCATGTTTCGTCCATAGCGCTCTCTTCCCACATACCAAGAGCATGTAAAATGTAAATAAATCCTGAACGAAGAAATGTTGGCCCTCCTCTCCTCCAGAATTTAATACAATGTAATGTCAGTTCTATAGATTTTGCTGAAAAGACTCACTGCAACTTAGAGTAGTAGCACTGGGAACTGTCATAGGATGTTCTATTCACCCCTGTAAGCACTAGAAGTAAGGAAGTTCCCTGCAGATGTGTCTCTTGGCAGTTGATTGGCATTGGCGTCTTAAAAAAACTGAGAAGTTCTAATAAAGTTTGTCCTGCATTCAGGACAAATCATCTCTCCTCATGAAGTTTTTCTGCACGAGCTGCTTTTCTTCAGAGCGGGCAGTACGCTGTCCTCTCTTCAGGCAAACAGCCTGTTTTCAGTGATTTCATTTTTAAAGATGTTTCTTCTTGCATATAGGAGGGAATCGCAGCTGCTTTGATAATACATGGGCGAGGCAAATTTGCGTTCGCTTATCTATTACATATGTCTTCTTCCTAGCACACTCACTTTCCTCTACATCCTTGATTTCTGAAGCCCCACAGAAGAATTATCCTCCTTTCTGCAGCATAATGCCACTGTTGTCTCAGCTCCTTGCATTGTACCTCTATCCAGGGATAACCAGAAAGAACTAGAGGCGGTCGTTTTAATCTCTTAGAAACTGGATAATGCAGTATCACATGAACAATCACAGGCCAAATGTTGATGGAACGAAAATACAGTGTTCAATCTGATCTTGAAATCTTCTGCTTATTGGCAGCACAAATAAGTAGGAATAACTATTTTTTACTCTGATCTCTTCTTGTAGTAGCTGGTAACTAGCACCAACATTCTCCACTTGGCTCTGTAGCTGCGAGGAATGGCTATGGAAGATCCTGACAAGAAGACTGAAGTAGTACTGCTGGCCTGTGGGTCCTTCAATCCCATTACCAACATGCATCTAAGGCTATTTGAGCTGGCTAAAGACTACTTTCATGAAACAGGTAGGGTGGTAATTTATATAATTCAAAACCGCTCTGGTAACTAGACACTTAAATGTTAAGGTGCATATTTTGTGTATATGAATGCCTGTTTGACAGCAACAGATATTTTTGGAAATACTAATTAGATGCTGAAGCTAGTATGCGTGTATGTATCATACAAAATCATGTAGGCCAAATACATGAGAGAACAGTCTTACGTATGTGTTGCTTATTACTAATTTTAATCAGCTAAATCATGAGGTTTATAGTTTTCCTTTCTAGGAATATATCTTTCTAATATATCTTTCTAAATCGTTAATTGTGCTGCCTTGCACGATGGCAGAAGTACGCTGTACTTTTCCACTGGGCTGGCTGTCAGAGCTGGCATTGGTGTTCTTAGAGATTGCAGTGAAGAATGGTTATGTAATAGTTTAAATACAAAACAGTGGAAGTAACATCTGCTCAACCACTTTTCATGTTCTTGTGTGATGTGTTTTTTCCACAGGAAAATACAAAGTAATCAAAGGAATAATTTCACCAGTAGGTGATGCATATAAGAAGAAAGGTCTGATCAGTGCGAATCACCGAGTAACTATGGCAAAACTAGCTACAAAAAACTCAGATTGGGTGGAAGTTGATGATTGGGAAAGCAGCCAGAGTGAGTGGTTGGAAACACTAAAAGTTTTAAGGTATTCTTCAGCCAAACCCTAAAAAGCCTCAAGAACCTATAGAAAGATAAGGAATGGTGTTAGCTCTAACAAGTTAGAATGATAGCAGGCTAACCCCAAATCATATGAATAGACTCAGTGATGTCAGAATTACTATTTATATGAGCACTGTAAATGAAAGATTGCACCACGAGTCCTAAACGTACAAAAAATGAGCCTGTGAACAATTTTTAAGATATATTGTTTTAGGCTTTATTCAATTTTTGTGCTGAAAAGGTATTAATGAGGAAGGACAAGAGACTAGAATAGGGTACACACATGCTACACAAGCTTCCCTCATTTGATTCCGATTATGTTACGCTGCCCATTTGTGTATTTAAAGGCTGGCATGAGAATTGTCTGAAGGAGTATCTTTTTTTAAGTTTTACGTTTTTTACTCTTTCAGTCACTGCTACTTCACTGAGGTTCTTCTTTTTAAAACAAATTTTTATTAAAAAAGAAACAAACCAACCTTGTAGCTGTTGCTTTGAAATCTTTGCGCTTCGACCATCTTATGACCCAGCTCTCGCAAGTCCCTGTTCAGGCAGATCAGTTCTTGGATGGATTGTCTGTGAAAGTACTGCAGGAGGAAGTGGTGAAAGATTATTTAGTAGGCCATACTCTTCCCTGTATTTCTCATACATCTTAAAAATACCTAAAATACATCTGTTTTGCAGGTACCATCATCAAAAGCTTTTATGTCCTGATCCCACTAATAGTCTGCAGAATGCTATACCTTTAACAAAGCCAGGACGGAAGAGGAAACAGGAACCAAATAGGCATGACCCCGTTAAAAAGAAAAATCAGAATCCCGATATAAAAAGTTAAGTCTGTTTGCAAATGAAATGCTTAACAATACTTGCTGTTTCAAGGGAATTGCGCTGATTAGTAACTTTTTTTGATGCTAGTTCTTGGTTCTGACTTCACTGAATAAGTTTATTCCCTGAGATCCCACAGCATAAAGCAGTAGGCTTTGTAACAAGACGACTGTAAGGGTAAAATATATAGGACATGAAAAATACTCATGATAATAGAAATTTGAACTGAAACAGGTGTGAGCTATCCATTTTACCTAAAGAACTTTGGTATACTGTAGTTACAGCTGAGAATTTTGGATCATATTATAAGTTGCTGAAGAAAGAAAGGACAGGATTAAGTCCCGAAGTTCAGTATGTATCTGGGTATAGGATCATTTTTAAATTGTAATTTAAAACTTCATACAACAGACATAGCTTGGCTTTGTAATTTTAGGTAGCATTTATTTTGATTCTTGCTTTCAGATCCTAGTTTTAGTTCTTTAGCTTAACATGTACAATTATATGTATTCATATAGAATTTGAACGTCCTTGCATAATGACCATCTTAACCCTTTATATTAGCAAATCTTGACTTCTTCCTGACTTCTTCCCTTGAACTTTTCCAAATTCTACTGTTTAATTGATAGTGTTTTAAAGTAAGTGTATTCAAAGACAAAACCAACAGCATCAGGCAGGCTCTTTTCATACTGTGTTGCCAGATGTTTTACTACATTCCTACCACCCCGTGACATTACTGGAAGCTGCAAATCTGTAGCACTCTCAATTTTGCTTCCCCTACTTTAAGGTGGTTTCTGTCTGCATGCTTCTCTAGATTCCCTATAAAACATAGTATGGTAGAGAGTCCCCTGAAGTCAGGTGTCACAGTCTATGGCGGGGGGACGGGGGGCTCTGTCATATTTTCTTACATAATCCCCTCTGCCCCCTGTCCCGTAAAAGCTAGCTCCACTTCTGTAACTCTATGGAACGTCAGATAAAGTTTTAACAGCATTACAGTATCCTTTCATACTTAGATATTCTGGAATTTTCTCTATATTTTCTTTTACTTTGATCCTCACAGTGATTGATTCACCCCCAGGCTAAATGAGCGTATTAGAGTTTATTTTCCAATCCTTTTGAACGAAGGGACTCCCATAACCTTTTTTCAGAAAAATCCTGTATTGAGGCTACTAATTATAAATTACACACTCTGAATCTTTTTTTATTTCATTCCATTGTCTCATCTTAACCAAAGATACAGAGAGGTAGCCTAGAAATTAAATGTCCCCATCAAGTTAGCTAAAATTTGGTGGCCTAAACGAAGCCCTGTTTCTCACTTATTTTTCTTTTTAAGGTGTCCCACAGGTTAAACTGCTTTGTGGAAGTGACATGCTGGAATCTTTTGGGATCCCCAATCTGTGGAAGTTGGAGGACATCACTGAAATTGTGGAAAATCATGGCCTTGTATGCATCAGTAGGGCTGGAAACAGTGTTCAGAAATTCATCTATGAATCTGATATTTTGTGGAGGCATAAGAATAACATTCACCTTGTGGAAGAATGGATCACAAATGACATTTCCTCCACCAAGATTAGGAGAGCACTGCGGAGGGGCCAGAGCATTCGTTACCTAGTGCCTGATGTAGTTCAAGCATACATAGAAAAAAATAATCTGTATAGTCCAGAGAGTGAAGACAGGAATGCTGGGGTTGTCTTGGCTCCCTTACAGAAACATGCAAGTGATTCCAAGAACTAACAGGCACTATACAACTAACTTACTTTCTGCTGTGAAAAAAGCTACAGTTCAGTACAGGAAAATGTGGTTTTGGGGGGTTGTTTGTTTTTTTAAGTAAATAGTGGGGTAATTCTGTGGCTTTAGTACATATGTAGTTGCTGTTGAGGTTTGGTGCACTCAATAATTGGACCTACACAAGCTTTTTTAAAGCCAACAACAAGATTTTCATGTTTAAACATTTTGTCACAGTGCAATGAACTAAGTGTAAGAATTCACACTTGCATATGAGAATTACAAATTAACAAACAAAACAAATGAAATGTTCTGATTAGTTTTAACTCGGACTGCTCTGACTGCTGTTTATAAGTTAGTAACACAAATATTTTTAATAACTTACAGTGTCTTAACAAAGCCATTTAATTTCAAAATGTACCAGTCACTGATAGTAAATCTATATAACTCATTTTTTAAAAAATTGCCAACATGTGGTATACCTCAAAGAAATTATTTAGCTCTATGCTGGAAGGGAAAAATTTACTCCTCGCTGAAGTGGTGCTAGACATACCATGCTTTGAGTTGCCTGCCTTTCAAATATGCAGCCTGTTTGATTGCCATCATGCAATTTGCTCCCAGAAATGCCTCGTGCTTTACTTTTTCATTCATGTTTCCAGAGCTGTACGTTAAGCTCAGCACTGTTTCTCATGGAAGGACAGACCTACTTCAGAAACTGGTTTATAGCCATTGATTTAATGGGTAGAAATTAATAATAGTGTCATTGCATGGATTCTCAGATAGGTGTCCCTTTATTTCAAATAATAAATGAGCTTTTACTTTTGAGGCAAATGTATACAGCCAGAATTGTTTTCTGTAACTGGAGTTGAGAAGAAATGGTAGGATATTAAGACTGTACATAAGTGAAATGTTTTTCTTTGCTAGAAATCTGGTTTTGAATCTAATAGTATATTGTCTGTATTATGTGAATATAAACTAGAGGGGCACTGTGAATGTCATGGTGATAGAATTCTACCTCCCTTTAGATTTGCCGTCATCCCATTTTTGTTTGGATTATGTGCCTGATTAAAAATGTCAAGGTTTCCAAGACGCTTCCTAATGGGTCAACAGCTTCTTCATATGATCTCCACAAGATGACTCCGTTCACATTTTTCAGGTCGACAAATCCAGCAGAATGTGAGACTATCAGGGCAGGAAGCCTAGATGCTGTTGGGCAAGCCTAGGACCAGGAGCATGTTCCAGGATCATAATCGCGACAACCCATCATCCTCCTTCCCCAGGCAGGGGATCCCCAAAGAGCTGAGGCAGAGGTGTAGGCTTCCCTAGGAGCTTAGGGGGAGTCTGGAAGCAAGAAGCCAAACGCAGAACATCATGGGTGACCCTAGGGCCTGCAAGGCTCGTGTAAAACCCAGCAGGGGAGTCGAGACACTCTCAGAAAAACCTGTGACCCGCAGTGGAGCTAGCATCGGGCACGCAAACTTAGAGCCCCACATGAAATTCTGCAATTACCATGCACCAGAACATCTGTGTCCTGCTAGCTCCAGCCTGTAAAGGTGGCTGTCTACAGAGAATCTACAAGGAGATTAGTGTAATAAAATCAAGTCACAACTTAGAAGTGCATCTGTAACTGCACTGTGACAGAAAGTAGCATCAAGGATTCTTTAGTTTTTTTCTTGGTGATTCCTGCATCAGATGTGCTCAGTCTGCCATTTTTTCCCCTAGAGCTCAGGCAAGCTTACCCTGTCCTTCGATAATGAGGCCGGGTTCGTTTATCATCAATAGTAATAAAGGTACCGAAGGATAAATTATGCCCCTGTGACACCTTAGCAATCAAACTGCCATAATTGATTGAAGATAACCGTATTATTGATGGTGCATAGGGAAGGACAAGATCTACTTTTCTCTTTTGCTTGCTATCTGTCTTTATGACTGACAAGAATAGAGGGCAAGAAAGATTTATTTTCAGCAGTCAAGTCAAGCAGTGTGCTGCTGAATAAACAGCAGATCTTTCTAATGGGAAAGCACCCTATTTATGTGGTCACTTTTCAGAGTAAAACTGCACTTTAAGTCTAGGTTTATTCTTCTAAATGATGCTGGTGTGTGTTGGTGCACTTTGTGTAATTCTAGACAAACTGCAAATTCAATAGGATGTTTTATAAAGCTTTGGTCTTCAAACAGTTATGTTTCACTGGGTTTTAATGTAGTTATGTGTGATGGGTCTTTCAATAAAATAAATTGCATGTAATATGCTAATTTCAGTCATCCTGTTACTAGCCAAATCTGATGTCTGACGACTGCATGATTTTTAAGTAGGTAGAATGGTGTCAGTACACTTTTGTCTATACAAAACAGCATTGTTCAAAAATTACACTGACTGCTGAATATGGATCGTTTGTTTTACTAGTGGGATCCAGAAACCTGCCTGTTGCAACACTAAAAGTAAGCGCACACTGACAATCTACTGTTCCAATCAGTTATAAATATCAACATCACAGTCACTGATGTGGCCTGTTCAAAAATGTTAGACAGGTATAACTTTCAAGAGTGGACTAGATCTAAAAGAGAATCTATATACTTGAAAATGTAACGTTTGTGAATAATGCAGTTCACTGAACTTCTTTATATAAGAGTTGTAATGCATTCACAGATGTTCTACAAACAAAAATGAGGCTTTTTTTTTTTACATCACTGCATTTGGTCCTGCTCTATTAAGAGAACACAGGGCCCTTACACCACATGCGTAATTCAGACTCAAAATATTTTATAAATACTGCAGCAGCAGCAGGAACCACTTTATCATACTTCTGTAATGAGGCCACATCCTTAATGGAATCTGTTAGATGCTCAATGCTGCACAGCAATTAAGATGGAAATGGAAAAAAAATCTTTCCACAAAAAGAAAATTGGGAATTTGTAAGGGAGAAAGAAATGAACCATTATAGGATGTGGCCAGGGCACCCGGCAGTTCTTACAAAAAGGTCCACAGGCAATTCTTTGGCTGAGCCCTGAAATAGTAACCCTATAAGTCTTAGTTTGAGATTAAGTACTGATCTACAGAAAGAAGCACCACATCCCAGACAATCTGCATAATCTTAATTTTCAATAAAAATGTTATATCCAGGCTTTTACACAGGATTTATCCAAGTACTGACTTCTCTTTACTTGGAAGAGTCAGTAGTATTGCAACAGTGCTTTACTATCATAACCTTGTAATAACATTATGGGTGAAATGTTACTATTCGAGTCCAGGGGAAACACTAATTTGCATTTCTCTGTGCTGTTCCTAGTTTAGTATAAGTTAGAGAACAATATCCATCTGCAAACAGGAAACAAGCTTTGACGTCCTAATTTCCTACTCGCATGACTTTGTGAGTCATATAGGTCAAACTATCAGCTCCAAAAATGTAGCTAAAGTTCACGGAAACTTAATTTTCTCTGCAAAATATTATCTTTTTATTCAGCCTAACCCAAGTCAGTAAATAGATAAATGTAGTAGCTATAGGTGAGTTTCCTCATTCAAGATTCAGAACACCAAATTCCCTTTTTACTATGGTAGCAACACAGTTAAGATTTTGCTCGCCCATCAATGTTGGGTTTTTCTTTTAGTGTAGCCTTCATTGTGGTGCTCATTACTGTCTCACCTGACCACTCAAAATGTGGAATTAAGCTAATGCTCAAAACATACATGTGACTGGGAATGATTGTTTTCCCCGTTTTACCGATGAGGAAACTGAGGTACAAAGTTATCTAGCTCTCCTGTACTTAGCAATTCTAGCGTGCCTAGTTGTTCAGGATTATTAAATTCGTATTTCTCACTTGGTAAATTGTAACCAGAAGGCATACAGTTTGCAAAGAGTAATCACAGATGGAGGAACTGCAAGAGATTGGAGAATTATGTATCTTCTAAAGGAAATAAAATGTCACTTCCAAATTCCTTATATATCCTTCCTCTTCGAAGTCAAGCATTCTTTATTCACTTTTCAAAACACATTGCTGGGTCATCACGTAAGAGATTTCTTTCATTTCTTTGCTGAAGATAAAGTCCAACACTGAAGCTTACCTGCTGCATCCTGTGCTCTACTCTCTATATCCTCTGCCACAATGTATAGCATCTAATAAAGCATCAGTGGGAATAACTTCTATATCATCTCTCCTTTACTGTATGTGTCAAGAGTAAAAAGCAAAGGAGGGAGCTACATCTTCTATATACGCGAGAGTACTTTTTGAATTCGTTACTGTTATTGGCTATTTTTAGGAGTTGAAAGTGCAACATTTTTGCAATTTGCAATTGCAAGAACAGGTATTTGCCCTCTTTCCCATCTAGGAAAACTGATAAATACAGAGCTGCAGAACTGGGAACAGAGCTCAGGCCTCTGGATCTGCTGTCTCATGCCTAACTGTTACACAAACTTTCTGGATGGTAAGGCATCTGAGAAAATAAAGAATTTTGTACACGTATGTTCATTTAACTAGGATGTAACTTAACAGCATTAAAAAAACCAGAACACAAACAGGTAAACTGTGGCACAGTAGAGCTGTGTTGAGAGTCACATCAGAGAATAACATATACAAACAAGATCTGTCTTTCACTTTTCTGTTATAACCACTGGACAATGATGCTGCCTACTATTTACTCCAGGCATAAACCAACAAGATATAATACTTATCTCTATTACTGTGTCATAGGTACTGCGGTAAAATTTGCTGATACAATATCATCCACAGTTTAACAGTCAATCCCTGTCTGTTCAAATATAGTGTGTATTTACAGTGGGTAGATCACCGTTTCAACAAATATGTAGATTTCAGATCATAAAGTCACAGATCTAATGTACATGCAGGGAATTTTAGTAGTGACAAAATGTGTCCGTGATTCCCTTTAAAGTATACAAGATGGACACAAATGGTTTAAACCGCTTTTTGGTTTGCATTGTGACTCTTGGGCTACTAACATTTGCTCCACACAAAGATTTCAGAAACTGTGAACTTTTCCCTCCAATGCAGCTGAAGCTGATCTGCAGATACCCTCTCCCCCATTGGCTCAGCAATAGTACCCTTCCCCTCCATCAGAAAGGCTCTGAGATGTAATCCCACCCACAGTCTTCCTTACATAAGGCCTGGTTGGAAAACTACTTCTTCATTTTTGCCTTTTGGTCAGAGGTTGACTGTATCTTCTTTCCACAGTCTGGCAATGCCTGTGGATTTCAGTGGAACCTGGAACCTTATCAGCAATGACAACTTTGAAGGTTATATGGTGGCCTTAGGTAGGTGAAAAAACCTGATTCTATCCTTCCTCCCTTCCCCTGAAGGGTCCTCCTGAATTTTAAGAGGCTGAGTTCTTCTAAAACCTAGATATTGCCGAAGCTTTTTTTCTCTGAAAAAACAATGGAAGAATCTTTGTCTACTGATAAACAGACAGCATTAACTATACTTCAGCCTGTCACCCAAGTGTCCTTGCAGCTTGCAGGAATTTCTCAGCCTAATACTTGTTAAAAGTAGATTTTTTTGTATAGCTTTCATCAGAGACAGGGAAGAGTTTGCTCTGTCCGCTCAATTTCTCTTGTTTTTGAGCACAAACTTAACAGAACCTCTGTCTAGGGTTAATGAAATGTTAAGTTACAAAAAAAAGTGCTTGGGTATTTGCTACTTCCAGGCAGTTGTTCAGCTTGGTGTCATTTATCTTTAAACAGCTTAGAAAATACTTCTTTCGCCACTGTGACTTGTTAAGTCTCTCTAACTACCCCTTTTCTGGAGTGCTTGAAACTAACCTCTTACCTTGCTCAGACCTTTTAGAGAGAGATTAACGGTGCTTAAATGGAGAACTAAGAAAGTTCTCGGTACTTTATTAGCTTTCTTGTGCAAAGCTCATTACAGACAGTAACAGCAGGCAACCTTGTGTGCTGCCTTCTCTTCTCCCTGCCTCTCCCACCCCCTTCTACCTTTTTGATTTGTGTAAACTGATGACCAACAGTGTCCCTTGTTGGTTATTGTATACACAACTAGAATGAAATCTATTTTCTGGCTGGGTGACCTACTTAAATTGTCTAGTTGGTATCTTTAACATGGTGAAAGAACTCTTCTCTGTTTCTAATCCTGGTGTGTTATCAGTCAGGAAAAAAAAAGGAAAGGGTGCTCCCATAATGAGGATTTATTCCTCAGTTTGAATACTAAGTAATATACTCTTAATGTGTTAATGTTTTCAAATGGAATAGAGATTATGTCTGTTCCTTGATAAAAAACATTGTCCAGCTAAGTAAAGGGCTTTTTTAATGAAACCTAACTACCAATCTTGTGAAAAATGCAGTTTGTTTTCAGCATGTAATTGGGGAACTTACTTAAAAGTAAAGGCAAAGAATCCTGTTGATGATTTACAATCTATCTTTAATTACTCCTGCTTGGTTGCCAGTATACTGAACAAAACAGGGACTGAAGTCAATATTGTAGAGCTAGAATGAAAAACTTTTTTGCCAGGGTAAGTAGAGTGAGGAGGCTAATATCTGATCAGCTGAGTAACTAGAGGGTTACCGATAAGGACATGGCTATTCCAAGCCTAGCCTGTCCTTCAATTTAGTATCCACCTCTACAGAATAGATTTCTAAGTAGTTTGTATTCATACATTCCTATAACCATGTTAAGGCTTAACGGGTATGGCTGTTGCCAGTACTGAATTCAAACCCCTCTATGCTAAAATAAACTGGTAACCATGTAAAAACATGACTGACAGATTCTGGCACTGCTGTAATGCATACAGTAATGAAGTCCCACTTCAAACACAGACTGCATAATGAGCCATATGGTTCAACACATGGTAGCTGAAAACACCCTGACAAGAAGATCACAACCCCAGCCTGCATAAAGTGAGAAACTTCTAGTGGTCCTACAAAATGACACTTTAAATCTAGGTGATGAAAACAACTAAATTCATCAATACACAGCCCCCCATTTTACCCATCCCCCTTTCCTGAAAACCCCACTCTGAGCATGCTATTGGGATGCAATGTAATTCAGTTGCCTGCCAAATAGATGGCCTGTTCCCCTAAAGAAACCGACATTCACTAGAGAAATAGAAAAAACTCTAGAAGCACTGCTTTAAGCTCAGTATTACCAAGAACATCAGGAGTCTGTTAAAGGTGACTGATCATTACAGATAACCAGGAGATCTTTTGACAAGTGTGATGTTTTCTAGTTGCACTTAAGAAGTGTTAACAGCAAGTGGCATGTCCTGAAAACAAGCTTGAGTAATTC